TTGAACCCAGGGCCTCACATGTGCTAGGCAAGCACTCTATCACTGGCCACAACCCCAGCCCATCTCTAGCACTTTTATAGGTATATACTGTTTTCATACCATCCTTCTTATACTTTAATTTCTTTCATATTTTCTTTTTTCCCTCTGTGCTACAGTCTAAGTTTCTTCAGGTACATCTTCCACTTCACAGATTCTCTCTTCATCTGTGTCTATTATGCCTTATTTATACAATCTGTTTTAAATGTTAGCAGTTATATTTTTCATTTTTAAAGATTCTATTTAGTTCTTTTTTGAATGGTCCTGGTCATTCTAGATAGTCTTTTGCTTATTTCTAATTCTACTATTTTTATTCCTTTAAACAATTAACATGTACTTATTTTTTAATTCTATACCTAAAATATTAATATCTGAGATTCTCAGGAACTTTATTCTATTTTTGTTGACATTTTTTATGGTCTTGGGGATTGAATCTTAGGGCACTCTGCCACTGAGCTATAGCTTCATCCTCTTTTATTTTTTGAGACAGGATTATATTAAGCTGCCAAGGCTGGCCTCAAACTTGTCATTCTCCTGTCTCAGCTTCCCACGAAGGAATTTTAGGTGTATACCACCATGCCTGGCTGACTTTCATTATTAATAGTTTCTTTATGTGTTTGATGATCTTGATTGTGGACTTCTATTTGGTTAATTTTTATCTGTGGAATCATAAGTGCCTTCTAACTCAGTACCCAGTTAGTCCACTGAATTAGTTTCAGTTATTATATTTTTAAATCTTCACACTGTTTGGCTGTTTTTCATAAAATCTTTTACTAATATTTTTTAATCACATACTTACTTTCTCAATGCCTGTTAAGTATTTTTGATATTACATGATGATTCTAATACCTGAAATCTTTGTAGGTCTTATTCTGATGTCTCATGTTTCTACTGACTCTCATTTATGGTCGCTTGTTTCCTTGAGTGTTTAGTGATTTTTTTAAAAATTATAATCCATTTGTTTTCACTTCAACTTTATCTGCTAAAATTCTTTGAGGCCTTTCATGAAATACAGTACAGAGATCCAATGTGCTCTTTATGCAGTTTCCTGCAATGATTACATCTATATAACTAAAGTATGATATCAAAAACAGGAAATTAATATTGATATAATGAGTATGTCATTTTATGGCATATATAGATTCATGAACCTCCATAGCAACGCAAGTACAGAACTAATCCATAATCACAAAGATCTCCTTCATGCATCTAACCACATCCCCATGAACTAGTATTTCCATTTCTGTAATTTTGTCATTGTCAGAATGTTACATAAATGAAATTATATATTATATGGCACTTTTTTTTTTGTACTGGGGGTTGATCCCAAGGGCACTTTAGCACTGAGCTACATCCCCAGCCCTATTTATTTATTTATTTTGAGATGGGGTCTCACTAAGTTGCTGAGGATAGCCTCTAGTTTGAGATCCTCCTGTCTCTGCCTCCTGAGATGCTGGGATTACAGGCATATGCCACTGCACCCAGCTAATGTATGACCTTTAAAAATTGTATTTTTCCACTTACTCTAATTCCCTTGTGGTCCAGCTAACTTGTTGCATGTGTCAATAGTTCTTTTCTTTTAACTGCTTATCAGTATTCCATGGTAAGGCTATATACCACAGATTGTTTAATCATGCACCTATTGAAGGATACTTTGTTTCCAAGTTTTTCCCTACAACAAATAAAATTTCTTGGTGCTGCAGTTGTGGCTCAGTGGTAGAGTGCTTGCCTAGCAAGCGTGAGGCACTGGATTAGATCCTCAGTACCACATTAAAAAAAACTTCTATGAACATCTATGAAAATATATATATATATATATATATATATATATATATATATA